GGAAAGGCCCAAGTTCCTGCTTCTTTGTGTCATTTCCTGTCCTTGTCTGCAGCACTCATGACAAGATAATTGGGTCTCCAATATTCAGCCATGGCGGGGAACTGTGATCAGGACACATTGGTTGCCCAGGCCAGGGCTAACTCCTGGTTAAACAAACAAAAAGATAGTTTTCAGGCTTCCAATGCAAGGAAGAATAGTGGGAAGTAGGAATCTGGGGAGCCAGTGAGGGTCTGGATGTTGCCCAGGTGATCTGTTGGCATCTCTGAAGTGGGCCAGACTCTCCCTAGTGAACACAGATCTTTTTTTTTTTTTTTTTTTTTTTTTTTTGGTTTTACAAGACAGGGTTTCTCTGTATTGTGAACACAGATCTTTGCCCTGCAAAAAAGGCTAAAGGCCATCAGCCACAGTTAGTAACCAGAATAAACCAAAAAACCAGACAGCCCACTTCCCACAATGTTCCTAGATGAGCCCGGACTGGAATCACATGCCTTTCTAACACAAAAGACTTTGAAAGGACTATGTGGGGCTTGCTTAGCAGAGAGAATTGGTAACCTCAGGCCATGCCTGACTGTTTCAATTCAGCATACCAAGGAGCCAGGCACTCCATGGGGAATTGGAGGAACCAAACTCTCAGTCACCGTGTGTGCCTGAATTACCCACACTCACTGGACCAGTTAATGAGAACAAAAGTGACTTCTATCTGTATACAGATGAGGAAACAGGGAAAAGGACTGCCTGGGAGCCTCGTGGGCCATGCAGCTGGCTGCAAGTCTGATTGGCTCCAACTCTGATCTTTGCTGCCAGAATCCTCCCTCCCTCCCTCCCTCCCTCCCTCCCTCCTCCCTCCCTCCTCCCTCCCTCCCTCCCTCCCTCCCTCCCTCCTCCCTCCCCCTCTCTTGTGTGTTTGTTTGTGGGTGCACACTACAAAATGTGTGTGGCAGTCAAAGGACAACTTTTGGGAGCTGGCTCTCTCCTTCCACCATATGGGTCCTGGGATTGAACTGAGGTTGTCAGGGCTGGGGACAAATGCCTTTACCCACTGAGCCGCCACCTTCCCCACCCCCAACACACACCTTGGTTTTGAGGTACAGGTTTTTAAGATACAGTTTTCCACTGACTTGGAACTTTGCCAGTCAGCCTCAGGGATCTGCTTGTGTGTCTCCCTAAAACTAGGATTATAAGTGGATGCCACCATACCTCCTTTTTCTTTCTTTAATCGTGTGAACTGTGGGGTGTTGAGCTCAGGTCCTCACTGCTTACAAGGCAAACACTTAACGACTATTCCATCTCCCTGGGCAGATGCTGGGTCTTGCTGATAGAGAATGTGGCATATTTCTGGGCCACCTTAAAGCATAGGTAGATATCTCGTCATCAAAGAGAATTGGTAACCCAATCTGCTTTCCCACCCCCACAGGTTAAATTTGTTTCCTGTGTGTGTGTGTGTGTGTGTATATGTGTGTTATATGCCTGGTTCCTATGCCTGCCAGGGGATCTGCTTTTCACATAGGATGTTCTAGGTATTTATTGCACATATGTACCAGGCCACTGACGATTTTCTTGCCTCCCCACTGTGGAGACAAGGTCTTTTTTGTAACCTAGGCTGGTGTAAAGCTTTTGGTTTTCCACTTCAGCCTCCTGAGTGCTGGGATTAGAGTCACATGCCCAGTTGTTGCCTGGCTTATGTCCCGTATTGTTATTATTTTTAGTGGTAATGAGATGAATTACTGCTGACTTTCACGGAGCTCTTGGACCACAACTGAGATCCTCGGTGTGCTCTTGCGCTTCCTTAAGTGAGAGGTGTGCCAGGGCAGGTGGGCGGTATGTTAGAAGATGGCTCCTATCACTAATCCTTCAGTAGTCGCTGTCACAGGCTACTGAAGTCCTGTAGCCATCACTGCCTCCTGGGGAACATATGGTCAGGAACGATTGGGAAGCCAGGGCAAGTAGCTTTAGACAGGGCCGTTCATCCATCTGCCCATGATTGCTGGGTCCAAGTGTCCAGCAACTGGACTACACAGTATTTATTCAAGCTCTGGTCAGTTCTATATATTCTATATAGAAAGACCTTTCCTCATTATCTTCAGGCAGGGTCTCATGTAGTTCAGGCTGACGTCAGAATTGTTAGTAGCTGAGAATGACTCTGAATTCCTGGTCCTCCTACCATTGCTGTACAAGTTCTGGGATTATAGCTGCGCAGCACTACTCTTGGTGTATATGGTGCTGAGGATCAAACCGGGGCTTTCTCTGTGTTAGAAATCACAACAGAACCCTCTCCCTAGCCCCTCATTCTCCTTTCTATAAATGTGTATCTCCTACTTCACAGCAGTGTGCTTTCTACACATGAAGCAGATGAAGGCACCCGCCATTGGTTGCTCATTATCTACCAGAGAGGCAGACAAAACACATAGGAACAAATCAATAAGTAAAGTCATTTGCAAAGTTTAAATGCCAAGCAAAAACGCAGGGCAGAGGAGGTGAATGGGAAGAATCCCGAATGTAGGGGAGTGACAACTTGGAGGAGCTGGTCTGAGAAGATAGTTCCATAGCTTAGCCCACACAGTACAGAGCCCTGGGTTTGATTTCCGGGACTGCAAAAAGAGGAGTGAATCAAGACTGGGATTTGGTGAGCAGCCAAGTGGTTTAAGCCCATGCTGAGGCCCTGGAGGTGGTGGTGGTGGTGGTGGTGGTGGTGTGTTCCCTGAGCAGCCAGGGGGAGATTGGCCCAGGTCACAAGCTAAAGCAAGTGACCCTTTGACTGATGGGAGAGGCTATCAGTGCAGATCCTGGGATCTTGAGGGCCCTGGGAGGACTTGAGTTTAGGCTTTCAGTAACTGAGTTTTTCTCAGAGAAATAGCATGCTCTGATTTACATTTTGAAAGTGGGGTTGGGGTTGTAATTAAGCCCTGATTTCAACCCCCAGCACAAGTTGCCTAAAACTGGATGTGGTGGCACATGCCAGGAACCTCCACCCTTGGGAAGGTAGAAACGGGATCAGCTATTCAAGGTGTTACTCTACCACATAGCTAGTTCTAGGCCTAATGCTGGGTGGTGGTGGCATACACCTTTGATGCACTCGGGAGGCAGAGGCAGGCAGGTCTCTGAGTTCGAGGTCAGCCTGGTTTACAACCTGAGTGCCAGGACAGTCAGAGCTACACAGTGAAACCCTGTCTCAAAAAACAAAAAACAAACAAACAAATCTAATCTAATAGGTCATGGAGGGGCATCCCCTGCAGATTTCTTCCAATGCCTTCTTACCATTTCCTCTCAGAAACTCTTCAAGGCTTTCCCCCAGCTCAGGAACCCAGGTGACCCCTCCATTTCCCCAGGGTACAGGCATCTGGCATTGCCTTCAGGGTTCTTTCTAGCAGTGAGCTTCAAGGGGGCTAATTTCCAGTGGGTGGTGTCTGTGGAGCACATTTTAGGAATTTTGAAATACATTTGGTTTCAGTCATATGAGTTACTTAAGACTACCTTACTCATAACAACAGCCCCTACTCTCCAAGAAGAAACCAAGTAGTTGGGTTAAACAGATGTGCAGTCTTCCATATTATCCACTGACCAGGGCTTCAAACACATTTTAAAACGAACCACACTGTGAATGGTATCCCACGATTTTTGCCCGGGATGTTCCCCCTCCTCTGGACAACTGATGTCATCATTCTTTGTGACAGGAATGATGTTCCCCAGCTGAGTGGCATCCAGGTGGTTCCCAGAAACTTGCACAACAGACTTGCTCCGCAAGGAACTGTGTCAGCGTGCAACAGGAAACACACCACGTGGGCCACTGAAAAAGAAAAACAAAAATTCAACCTGTGTGAAGATGCGCCTGAGCCCTTACAAGGGGAGGTCCAAGCCTGGATTGTGGTCCAGTGCAGCCGGCAGGGGGCGCCCCAGGCCAGACCTAACCTGCAGGACAGAGACTGGTAGATGCCGGTGCAGGTGCTGCACAGTGTGGCGGAACCGACCCTTTAGTGTTCCAGAAACCTGACCCTGAAGCTGGGTCAGGTCAGTTGTTTTGGTGTCAGTTGGCCTCCTGCCCCACTGACCTAGGATTGCCAGGGAGCACCCCTCCCCCGCAGAGAGAGAGAGCCTCTGTAGCGCTCGCTGGAGTCATTCCTCCGGGTCTTTAACCCCTAGGGTCGCCACTGCTTTCAAAGGACTGAAATCCTGGACCTTAGACAGCTGGCCCATTTTGCTGCTCTTTTTTTATTTATAATTTTTTTATTTTAATTTTAAATAGCTTGTTTTACATGTCAATCCCAGTTCCCTCTCCCTCCCCTCCTCCCGCACCCCCATCCCCCCCCAGCCTCCCACCCTATTGCCAATTCCTTCCACTGCCTTTGTGTCCTTTCTGCCTTCGGTGTCCTAGTTTGCTTTAGATTGCTGTGACAAAACGCTGAACAAAACCAACTTGAGGGAAGCCAAGGCAGGGACGGAAGCAGACATCCACCAGGAAGGCTTCCTGGATGGCTTCCTCCCTTGGGTTTGCTCAGCCACCCTTCTTACGCAGACCACGCCCACCCGCCTAGGAATGGCACGGTGGGCGGGGCCCTCCCACAGCACTCAGCACTCAAGAAAATGGACCTACCTATGTGCCCCGCAGCCCTGTCTCAGGGAGGCCGTTCCTCAGTTGAGGTTTCCTCTTCCCGAGTGACTCGAGCTTGCGTCAAGTTCAGAAAAACTAACCAGCACCCGGGGTGAGAAAGAAAAACACCCACATCAGAGGTAGGGGAGGGCAAGGCGGCTTCCAAGCACCTAGTGGAGCCCAGGCTCCAGTGGGGTTAGCTGATAGAGTCTGTGGGGAGGCCGGGGCGGGGTAGGAAGGATCCTGGGCAAGGCCACAGCTTGTCCCAGTAGGAGTTTTTATGTGGAGGCTTTCAGCTCTAAGTCACACTGGCACAAAGGGACTGACCCGGAGAAGGGTGCCATTGTGACCCCATGGGCTTAGCTAGTGAGAAACTGCTTTGTCCTACTTACCTTCATTTTGATCCTGCAGAGGGAGACGGATTCACACTCACTGGCCGCTTCCATCAGTCTTGGTTGCTGGATCTACCTTCAATCCTCAGGGAAGAGGAGACACAAGTGCCGCCAATCCAACCAGCCCCGAGTGCCAAAATCCTCCGTATCTGCCTCTTTCTCCCTGATGGGGTTGCAGCTTTACATTCCCAAGGAGAATGTCATATTTGAAACCTGGTTGGAGCGCTGGTGCAGTGCTTACTGGCTGGGTAACTGTAGGTCTGCACTACCTTGCAGGCTGTTCCGGTAAAGGGCACCTGTGCTCAGCAGGCAAGTGCAGAGGGGAGACTCTGGTCTCAGCAACATTGGCTTCTATCACCCTCTGAGCCAAACAGATGCTTTTATCAAGGCACAAAGTCAATTTTACTCTGTGGTAATAAGGATGGGTCAGCCAAGATCAACAACCCCCAAACGACCCTCTGGAGAAGACAGTCTGTGAGCAGAAGCAGAGCTTAAGAGTTTGCTTTAGGGAATGCTGAAATGATGTCAGCTTTGTGGCCTTGAACTTTGTAGTAACAAGCCCTACATTGCCTCTACTGATTCCATTTTGTTTTCCTTGAGTTCAAAACAGATAGGAGGGAAGATTTTTTTTTCCTCCAAAGGCCCTTTAAACACCTCAGTCTTCTAGGTGCTCTGACCTGAGGGAGGCTGTCATTGGTGAAGCAGATGCAGCCAGCGTGGAGTTGGGGGTTCCGGAAGCATCTGAATGTTCCATACATCTGTTTGACATTGGCTCAAAAGCATGGAATTAGTAGACAAAGCTAACTTCTTCCCCACCCCCTCTTATCTTCAGGGGAGGGATCAGTTCTCAGCTGGCCAGGCCAGTGTCACTGATACAGCTGGTGTCATCGTTACCTTCCACTAACAGATCACTCGACACCTATAGACCCAGCAGGGTTGGGTCTGAATAGTGGATTGGACCCTTATTGTCCCAGAGCTCCAGGTGAAGCCACCATGCAAGGCACTGCGGAAATGCAATGATCATTGAGCGACCCAAAGCTACATTGCTTCCTGCCTCGGATTCCTCTCACAGCTCTTTGGTTATTGCTGCCAGATAGGAGTTCGTCGCTGGCTGGGAGCTGAGACAGAACCAAGATGCTATCCAAAGAAAGGACACCTGGAGTGGCCCCCAAGTGAGGACCCAGGCCCGAAGATTGGCTCCAGGTGTTGGCCTGGGCTGGAGGTCTGCCTGGCCTTGCAGTCCTGACTGGCTGCACTCGGGCCTGTGTCCCCTACGGCATCATGCTGCAGCAGATCCTGCACGACATGTACATCGACCCCGAGCTTCTGGCTGAGCTCAGTGATGTGCAAAAGCACATCCTCTTCTACAAGATGAGAGAGGAGCAGCTTCGGCGCTGGAGGGAGCAGGAGGCATGGGACACCCTGGCCCAGGCAGAAGGCCTCAGGCCTGCGAAGGTCAAGCGAGGTATGTGCCTTGGAGTCACCGGTCCTCCAGGAGGTGAAAAAGTTAGTGAGTCAAGACTGAGTGCTCCTTTCCTATGGGTACTAGTGTTACACAAGACTGGGGAGTTGAAACTCTCGTGCTGGGGGCTCTGGTTGGTCCCACTAGCTTGGGCTTCTGTCTTCCAACTAGACTTGTAGATGAAGGATGTGGCAGGGATTATTATGTAGGACCCAGACGGGCTGGGGAAATGGGGACTTGTGCTGTCTTGTTGTATAAGGCCCAAATTCTGAGACAAAACCACTGAAACTGTGCTCGGATAGTTGACAGTTGTATGGTAGATAATAGAGAACGTAGTCTTTTCTATCATTCTTTTTATGATTCTGGGAATTGAATCCAACCTTGTGCATGCTAAGTAGGCACTCTACCACTAAGGTGTATGCCCAGGCCAAGGGCATATTCTTCCCCTCAGTACCAGTTCTCTAGGTCCTTCCTCCCTACCATGTAGACCCCGGTTCTCAACTCAGGCCTGCACCCTGCATCACGTCTCTCCGTGCATGCCTTCCTGTGAGAGGATGCTGTGAGTTGTGTTTGGAGTCTCACAGCACATCTGGCAAAGGGATTCTACAGAATTTTCTTGTGCAATGACTCATCACTCCAAATGACAATAGGGACTTTAGGCAAGAAGCAAGGGCCCAACCTGTCTGTCTTTCAGGTGATTTATATTCAAAGTCATTTGTCAGCCAAAGTCATGGACTGATGCCAAATGACCTGCTTGTGACCTCTAGCTAGCATCAGACAGGCAATTGCACATTGCACAGGATACAAGATCCTGTCGTGCAGAGTAGATTTGTATATGTTGCACTTACTTTATGGTGTTTGAATGCATTAATAGTAAATTCAGAGTCATCAATAACATGTTGGTGTTGCATGCATTAAGGACAGAGATCAATAACGCATTTTTCTTTGGTGTCATTTGGTCAAGAATGAACCCAGGTCTGAATGTGCTACTTCAATCTCGCTATGTCTTCCATTGTCTTTTGTATGTTGTATGAGTCTGATTATGTGCCTGCTTGGATGCTGTCTGTCCCTGTTTGCTCTCTTTTTTATTGAACATTACAGAAAGCATCACTTGGGTGAAGGAAATCTTTAACAAAGTTTTGTGAGAGACTAAGCAACTGACCCCAAGTGACCCAGATAACAAAGAGTAGTACAATATCATTGTTTATCAAGCAATATTTATATGTTGCATTGGACATTTATGTTGAATATTCATTTGGTAAGATTGTTTGCAACCTATATTTGCTCTTTTTGGCAGGTGATTATGATAACACACATTCGAAAACATATGCATTACTTTTTAGTGAGGGGTATAGTAGCTGCCTTGTAAGACACTTGGCTCCTGGCACTTGAGTCAACAGTATTCCCTATGCTGACACTGGAGTCAACTATGTGCCCTATGGTCATATTATTCAAAGTATCAAAGGCTAAAACTGGCATAGTCTACTAAAGCCAGATGGATTTAGATTATAGCTATGCATTAGTTTAGATAGAAAAAGTTGATGACATGGGAAATCAAGGCAACTAACGTTTGTCGTTGCATCGTCTTCTTAAAAGCATATTAAACAAACAGGCCGAGAATACAGTAGGATAGCAGTCTTAAGTCTTAATAATTCCTCATGGTGTATTATTAACTCTGGCTGTGAGGTCCAGCAAAAGTTCCAGTCTTTTAGAATGTAAAGACTATTTTTATCACAACACATTCCCATAACTCTATACTTTGCAACACAAATACACTTGCTTTCTTTTTTGTTCCTGTGACCCTCACTTGGCCTCCATCTATTCTTTAAGTGTAGTGTAGCTTTGATCTGTTCAAAGTGTTCAATCCAGGCCAAGCCCTGTTCCAGGGCTGTGCATAGAGGCCTGTTGGTGACCTAGCTTCTGCCTTCCAATCCAGCCTCACTGTTGGTCTGCCCCAATACATGCCATAGGCATGGTGGCACCACCTAATCATGCCCACTCTCACCCTGGTCTGTGCGCATGTTTTTCTTACTGTTGGCAATGGCCTCCTGTTTTATTTATCAGCAAATTCCCTACTCCTGGAGTCTCGTTGGATTTCTTTGGTATAGGGAAGACTTGCTTCTCTGTAGCTTCCTGGCCCAAGGACCAACCCCAGTGGTAGCATTTGTCATCATGGCATTGGTTTTCATAATTTGCTTGTCTGACTTTCTAAATATATTCCAAACTGCTGAAACTTGGAGCTAAACTTCACTGTTTTCCTCTCTTGGGGCCTAGCATAGAACTGGGACAATGTTGACTACCTGCTTTGAACAAGAACTAACAGGGACACTCCCACTCTGCCAACCCTGTAGAGTGGTTGTAACAGTTCTGACATGACTGTAGGGGACTGGTGCTGAGTGCATGCTTCTTGCTTTGGCAACTGAATACTAGCTGGGGAAGTCCACAAGCTAGAGCTTTCCAGCCCCACGCAGCCTCAGTCCTAAGACCTTACATCTGTCTGGTAGCTCCTTTGGGAAGATGACAGATGCCTAAAAATTTAACTGCAAAAATATTTATGTGGAGATTTATCACATACTGACACCTACATTTTTGTATATAAATTATACATTAAACTCATTTGGATTTCTGGTGCAGAAGATTCTTTTCTGGGTAATTAAATTTGTGATTTATAAAGAATAGAAAAGAGGGGGACCTTGCTAAGGAATGTGTGCCTCCCAGGCTGAAATCCCATCCAGATTTCAGGCTGTGCTTCGGTGTTGTCCCTGGGAACTGTTTGGATCAGACCCTAGAGAATTCTAGACAAGGGACTGGCTGTGCCTCAGGAACCAAAAAGCTTTAGCTGGAGGGTTTAGAGTGCATAGTGCTTGATTCCTGTTCCGGGAGCATGATGAGGGGTCTTGAAGACCCTACACTGTGTCAGCTTTGTTCAGGCACATACCTGAAGGCTCCCCTTGAGCCTATTTCAGATGAGAGTGCTGAGCCTCACTGAACAGATACAGTACAGCCAAGGACACCCATCTGCTAAGAAACAGAGTAAAATATACATCCATGACTTTGACCTAGAGCCTCGTGACTGATCTCTTCCTATACAGTTCCTTCTGATCTTGGATATCCAATTAAATGAATAATCTGTCACCTTTTCCTCTTGTCTACCATGCACCCATACATTCACTTATCCGAAGGGCTGACATTAATGAACTGTATAGTTTTAGCCTTTCAAACTTCAAGTAGAAGGATCGGGTACACAGTTGACGTAAGTGTCAGGAGCCAGGTGTCATGCAAGTTACCTGTGTGGTGGCTCAAGCTAGGAACATCTTCCTTTGTCCTTCTCTGCATACTTCCCTTCCCTTCCTCTATTTTTTTTTTCTGAAGGACACATCTTCTGTGTCCCTGTTGAGCCCTGTATGCTGGCCTCTTGGGATCGCTCTACAACCCTGCTCAGGCATGCTCATCCTGAAATGGTATCATGCTTCTTCTGGCCATTGTCCCCACTCTGTTTTATTTTTTTCCCTCTTCCTTTACTGGGAAAAATTTACAGCTTATTGTAGGCCTGATCACTTCAGGATGAGCACTGACATTCAGGTTAGGGCATAATGTCCTGGCCTCTGTCTAGTTATGTATGATGAAACTGTAAGTCCAGGGATCATGGATCACTCGAGCTCACAAACCTTGGCGACTTTCTCAACTCTGGGGCATCTATTTGGGACCACAGAAACACGTTGGAATGACAGCTTAGACCTCCATTATAAGAAGAAAGGACACGGCGTTGGGATCAGGGACGGCCACATACCGTTTCTCTCATTATAAGAAACTTCTGTTCTCACTCTCCCCTTTGGAGCAGTCTCCTTTCCTTGTTGCAGTACATGGAGACACCCAGCTTGAAAATCTGCTCATCTACTGTCACATTGGCTGTTTACATTTCTGACCATTTGCTGTTCAATGGAAAGCCGTGTTGTCACATTAAGACTCTGGGATAGTGTGTTATAACTATGCTCCCACAAGATTTCATTCAGTCAGTCCAACATTCTAGAATCTGTGCAGGTTCTTCTTGCTATTCATTCCTTTTGGTGAGACCAAAACTTATACTTCAAGTTGGGTCTCTTGCTCACATACACTTGGGGCTAGAGTTAAATACTTAAAGTGGCGCACACCTTTGATCCCAGCATTTGGGAGGCAGAGGCAGGTGGATTTCAGTGAGTTCAAGGCCAACCTGGTCTACAAGTTGAGTTCTAGGACAACCAGAGCTATTATAGAGAGAAACCCTGTCTTGAGAAACAACAAACCCAAATAACAGCACCAACAAACTACCATCTCCAGACATTCTGAATCTACAGGGTGTGTCAGCTGAGAACTTGTAGGAAGCTAAAAAGCAAAGGAGACCAGGGAGGCGGGCAAAACAAGAGCAATTTTGTTCTTTGGGAAGAACTCTCTCAGATGAAGATCTGCCTGGCCCCTGTTAACCCTTCCTAGCCTCACCTCCTTAGTGACCTGGATGCTGCACCTGTACATATTTTGTGAATTAAGTGATGACACACTGTTGATTGTAAGACACATCCTGACTGTAGAAGTGTTAAAACATGTGTCTTCAAATTGATGAAGTGGGGAATGAGGTCTGCTTTAGTTGGGCAGGTGAAATCACAGGCAGGCTTAGCAACATGTACCGGGAAACGAGGAGGCAAGGTTGATCTAAACACTGACCTGTTTGCTAGGATTCAAGTTTCTGTTCTTCCTGCTTCAACACACAGCATTTTCTTACAGTTTTTTATGCTTTTTATTTATCTATTTAACATCTTTGAGATGTTACTTATTTTTATTTTATGTATATGACTGTTTGCCTCAATGTATGCCTCTGCAGTACCATGTTGGTGCAGAACCCTTGGAGGTCAGAAGAGGCATCAGTTCTTCTGGCACTGGAGTCACAGAAGGTTGTGAGCCACCTTGTGGAAGCTGAAACCAGGTCCAGCTAGTGCTCTTAACTGCTGAAGTATCTCTCCAGCCCCTAA